TTTCTTCTCCTTTTTTCCAATCTGAAAAACCAACTGTGGCAAACGATGTAGTGCCACCAAATAAATAGCAGGGAGCACAAAATATTGATCCTTTACTTTCTGAGTAAATCAAAAATGTTCGGTTAATTTTTTCACCATTAACAAGAGTAGATATAAATATACTTTTTGACATATATCGAAAACGAGTACGTCTTACCCCACCAATTATTTGAGTGTAAATTCTTTTTGACTTTTGGAAATTATTGTTCTCTAAATTTTGGTTAAATCCATTGATTGATAAATAATCTATCGTTTCTTGATTTTTTATCCAATTGGCAGGATCATTTCTAAAGGGAAAATATATTTGTTTAATATACAAAAACCAAAAAATATTATTCAAAGTTTATAACAAATTGTATAAAAAAAACATTCAAGCATTAGGTAATAGAGATAAATGCATAATATAATATAACTAGAGGATATAGGTATCGTTTAAAATGTACAGAGTGTACTATATTTGTTAATAATTTAATTTCCAGCATAATTTTACATGACAAGCGACTTAAAAAAATAGTCTACCTTTGTACATGTTTATAATTGTAACCTACCATGAAAAAAATTAAAAAAAGCTTACTCAGGAACAATACTTTGTTTAGGAAGACTGTTATGTTCAACCATTGGCAAACGTGGTGTATCATTTATTTCTTCCGATTCTGTAGACAATAGAGTTTTACTCGTTTCTGTGCTGCTGTTATTTAGTAATATAAGATTGTCTGGATTTGTTAGATTATCTTTATTAACATTGAATCTGTGATCATTTTGGTTTCTATAGAGAAAAATATAATAAATTTTGTATAACATGCATGTACCAAATGATATTATTTATAAATTATATCAAATTTTAAATAAAGATATTACAATAAACATTTGGGCTTGTTATGTTCATGCATGGACAAACAGGGTGTTTCATTTAGTTCTTTGGATTCTGGAGTCAATAGAGTTTTACTAGTTTCAGTACAGCTCTTACTTGATAATATTAATATTAAATCGTCTGGATTTGATAGGTTATTCTCATTAACAATAAAGCTGTGATCATTTTCATCGCTTGTATTATTTACATTTTCAACTGAAAGCATAAATAACGATTACTACACATATCTACATTTTAGATATAAATTATTTACATTTAATAATAAATAACATAACAATATGAAGTATAAACAATAAATAACAGAACAATATGTACCTATATGTATATATATTTGCTAGAAAGCAAGATTAATAAAACGTATGGTTTTTTAGCTTAATAAACTTACCCGGCGATGTGTGAAGCTGTTTATCTGTAAAGCTAAAATATGTTTCTAACTTAGCAGTCTTTAAAAGTATTTTTGCTTGAGCTTCATTTTTTGCATGGGTTCGTTTTCGGTTTTCTGCGCCACTAAGCTTTTTACTATGAATTATCATTGCTTTTTAAAATAAGAATCCTAAAAAGTGTGTATTATATATATATTGTTATCATATATATGATAACAATAATGTTAATACTAAAACTAAAAACAATAATCGAAATACGAATATTTACCTTTTTCAAGACTGTATACTGTAATACAAGGGATTAAGCAGACAACATACCGAAGAACAAAATACTTAGGCCAACAATAAAAAAAACTGACAGCAATCTTAAAAATTCAAAATTATATTGTGCACACGTGGTATATACAAGATGGTTAGCAAAAAAGGCGATCAAAGTCAAATTGCTAATTTAATATAATTAATGCGTAATTTATTCTGCTCATCACTTCAAATTATATAAAAATAAATTCAAAAACAAACTGATTATTTAAAGTTTAAAGTATTTTTAAAGAGTTTTTTTTTTTTAAAAAATGTAAAGAGAATCTTTGAAGAATTATTTCATTTTTTAAAAGTAAATAGCTGTGTCTATACCTAAGTATTTCTGTTAATAAAGTCAATTAAGAGTAAAATGAAAATGTTAGGTAAAACGCACCATTTATTTTTTTCTAGTATATTATTTACTAATTAATAAATAAGGATCAAGTATTTGATTAATAAAAATTATAAATCATTTATTCAAAAAAAAATATAAATTTTATTTATATCAAGATTAGATAGTATATTAAATAAGAACACTCGTAGGAGTAGACCTCGGAGCGCCAGCGTCAGAGTGATGAGCTTAACCGTTAAGCTATCGCTACATACCGTATCATTAAAATATTTATAATAAATAAATAATTTGTTTAGACACGTGACTTTCAGTATCAAATCAACGTTTTTAGATGAATAATTGGCGCATAATTATGTATAATTTGCAAGTTTAATTTGATCTCCTTTTGATTGATATTTTCTTCTGCTAACTAAATTTTTCTAAAATCAACTAGAGATATTTAGTAAGTCGATAAGTAGGTCTATGATTTGAACATAATAATAATATAAAAATTTTTGTGAAATGATATAAGTAGACTATTTTACAATTTTCTAAAATTCTAACATTCTGAAAGCTGGCGCCCTGTCAAAACATGGCGCCCCCCCCGTAAATACGTCTCTGAAGTTAAGAGTTTACTTTTTTACAGACTCGAAAATGTTTTATCAAACTTAAGACATGTTTTTTACTTTTTTATTCAATAGACAAATGTTGATAATTTTTCAAATTAGTTCAAATGGTTTGGTGTCCTTACAGTTATGGCTAAGTTACTAAGTTACAAAAATAAAATACTTTAAGTTAACGTGTTTTGTTTTAATTTATCTTTTTCAAGCAAATCTCAATTTACAAAATATCACTTTACAAATGATATACATTAACCTACATTAACAGCCTTAGAATCGCCTAAAGGTATGTAATATGTAAGTACACTATTAGAATAGCACACTATTGGAAAACTATCTTTTTTTTTTAATTTCATAAAGTTAAAAAAAAAGAATTTAATTAAATAACTAAACTTAATTAAAAAATAATTTACAAATTAAAGTAACCGGATAACCGTGCAACGTATAATTTGGAATTAAAAGTTTTTTTTTTTTTTTTTGATTATTTAAAATTTATTAGTGCTTTTTGAAAAATAGACATAAAGTATATCAGAACCTAAATTAATTTAAACAATTTTAAATTAGAAGTTTACATTCATTTTTATTGATAATAAAAATTTTAATTAAAAAAAGGGGTTGGTTAAGTACTTAATTTGAAATTTAATTTTTATAACTATTTTACTTTATGAGGGTCCGAATTTCGAAGTTTGAAGGTCGAAGTTCTAGTCTTTATAAATAACTACAAATGATATTGGTAAAAACTAATCATAATAAAAAGCAAAGCAAACTTCGTAGTTAAATGGTTTTCCGCAATGCACTTTCAAGCAAATCTCAATTTACAAAATCTCACTTTACAAAATATGGTTAGGTTCTACTAAGTAACTGCCATATCTAAACTTTACATATTTATCATAAATACATAAGTGTTTTACATTTTCTATAAGTTCTAGAATTAATAACATATTGCTTATATTATACATACTGTAACTGATAATGTAAGTGACAATATAAGGTTTAATATGAAAAAATGTTGAAACTATTTATATTGTGAATTATTTGTCAATAATAGTAAGTAATAATAAATATATTTTTTACATTTTTTAAAATATAAAAGTGCATATATTTGGTTACAATATTCATACATTTGTTTAATAAACAAGTTGGCTAGTCTAGAGGAGGTAAATGTTGAGTTTTAAGGTATTAAGATGTTTCTTAATTATGTATCACAGGATGTGATATAACTTTTTTTAGAATATGTTGTGAAAAAAATTCAATATACAATAATAAAATGGTTCTTAACTGTAATATAAAATTGAAAATTTAGTTATGATACTTAATATTTCAAAAACTAAATATTTGATTAATCATGAGTGCGTTTTTTTGTCACTTGCTATAGTAAGTCAATTTTCTCTATGTTATTATGATATCATTTAGATATATATAACATGTTTATTTACAAAGTTATAAAAAAGAAATCAAATTTTTTTGTTAATATATTTTTTATTTATGTTAGTTTTGTATAAAACTTTATTAAATTTTAAATTTTAATAAAACTTTATTAAATTTATTTCAGAGGTTCAATAGTATCTATGTTTTTTTTTAGAGTTGCTTTGTATTGGTTTATGATTAAAAACAGAAAATACATTAGTTTAACAAATGTTGGTCTTTTACACATAAAAGTTATGTAAAATCTCCCATGAAATAGTGCATCTAAATTAAGTAAGTTTACACTTAATCTGACAACATTATTTTAAATATTTTTGCTTCAGAAAGTTCGGGAAATTTTTACTCTCCTCAAGTTTTAATATCTCAAACTATTAGTTCACAGACTTTGATAAAGTATATAAAATATTTTCTGTATATTAAAATTAATTAGAATTTGTAAAAAATACAGGTTTTCTTACTATTGACCTGGGCATCTGTGAATGGATAATTTCTGTAAATAGCTTGAAAATAAGAATGGCAATATAATAGCACATTTTTTTGATCAAGAATAGTTTTTTTTTTCATTATTTTCATTAAAAGCTTATGAATATATATGACAAAAAAGTTTTTAAAAACTACATATACAGTACTGTGACATGAATTGAAATGAATATACATTTATTATTATAATTGTTCTTATTATTATTATCATCATTATTATTATCAAACAACAGCGACTGGTCTTGAAAAAGGGCTATATAAAGATCATTTATGGTAGTTGTATATATGCATTTTTTATAAAATTGCAATAATTTTTTGACTATCCTCTTTGTGAAAATGTTAAACCGGATATCAGAGTTGTTTTGTTCTCTGGTTAGAAAGTTTTGCTGTCTTGTACCATGATCGTTTTTTTCTTGGGTTAAACTTGAATATAAGTTTATTTTATTTAGTCCATTTTTAATTTTGAATTGTTGTATTTGGTCTCTTAATCGTCTTTCTTCATAGGTTTTTAGACCAAGGCAGCTTCCTTTTAAAGGATTTGAAGGCTTTTTCACATAATTTAAATTTGGTACCTCAATGGTAGTTTTTATATTCGTTTATCAGTTGATTAGTTGAATAATATTATCAAAGGATTTAAAATCGAGAAAAACGGAGTCGAGAGAAATCGAGAAAAAACTCCGTCGGAGTCGAGAAAAAATCGGAGTTTCGATAATATTTTGTTATAAAAATTAAACTATCTATTTGATAAAAAAAATTATCAAATAGATAGTTTCTCTATTTGATAATTAAACATTGTTCTTGTATTTTTAATTTTAAATATTTTGATTTATAATTCATAATAAAATTTTTAAAAATTTATATTTTTATATTTCTTAGTACATAAATATTTTTTTTGTCACAATTTTTTAACGAACAAGTTATATCTAATAATTGGCTTTCTAACCGGCATCGGTTAGGAAGAAGGCGTGAACTTTCAGTTAAATGCCCTTCTGCGTTGCTATGCAATAAAGACTTGTTGGGGCACCTATAGTAAAAATTAAAAAAAAAATTTGAAAAAAAAAGTATTTATACTGAAGACCTTTTTAAATAATATTTTAAAAAAATCAAAACATCTATTATTTCATCAGAAAGCGAACTACGAAACTTTGTGACAAATCTGGAAGACGAGGAGAAAACTCTTTCTGCTTCCGAGGAAGTTGCTTGAATTCTGTGGATGGCTAGTTTAAATTTTAAAACTGTTTCTGATTTCACACCAGTTACTTCATATTCTTTCAACTGATCGGTGAAGGTCTTGACTTTTTTTGGTTTTTTAGCTGCTGATTGATTTTGAATTAGAACTTCTTGAATTTCGGAGAAAAAAGCTGTCGATTGTGATGGTTCTTATTGTTTGTTTTTAGCGTGATCATCTGATTTTGATTGGAGACTATTTTCTTTTGTTGCAAATAGTTGATCAAATAATTTTGAAGCATAAATTTGAATATCTTTTTTGGAAGCGTAAAAAAATGTGTGGTTTTTATTTTTAAAAAAATCGGGATTGTGCAAATAACGACTCAATGATACCAACATAACGTTTTTACGATCTTCATATCTGGAGATTAAGGTCTCTGCAAAATTAGAACTGATGTCAGTTTCTGCAACCTTCAATTTCCTTACTAACGTTTCCATAATAATGTCACACTCCAAAATTGTTGTATTTGGTTTTTCCAAGCGAACTGCAGCGTCAGCAACGACTTCCAATAAGTCAGACAGCGATTTTAAGAAATCCAAGTCAATTTCAGCTAACATGTTTAAGCAGTTTAGCTCTTCGAGTGTTTTTTTTACAGCTTCTAAGCAATCCAGAAATCTTTTAATCATCTTAAAAACACTGTTCCATCTTGTTCTGTTGTCGAACAACAGTCCTTTGTCATGCGAAGATCCGTATATTTCGTGTATTTTTCTTTTAAGAGCTTCATATCGAAACGATGAATATTTCAAAAACTTAATTAGTATTCGAAGTTTCTGTAGATTTTTTTCTATATTTTCTTCATACTCAATCTCATTCTCCGAATATTCAATAAGAAACTCTCCTTCAGACTCTCCATCAGTTTCTGTTTCTGTTTCAATAATCGATTCAGTTTCTTTGTTCACAATTTTGCGACAATCCTTTTTAGCGTATATCAAATACAAAAACTCAAATGAATTGAATGATTCTGGCAGATCTGATGTGGAAACTTAAATATGGTACACCCAATTTCACCATCCAACTACAGCCATCTGTAGTTTTACCTGCAATATCTTCACTATCTATACCAAATTCTTTTAATTTTTCCATTATCAAAATGTTTAATG